GATTGACAGGTGGGAGTGCGAGGTATCGAGCGACGAATCACCATCCCCTCGACGCAGGATTTCGGTATCCTGCGGGTGGACTGGACACATAGTAAAGCCCGCGCTCGCTCGGACACGGCCCGTTGTAAATAGCGGATCGTGATTCGCGGATCGGCCCGTCCGCGGCAGTATTACGCGGCACGTCGCTGTTTCCGCGATGCGCGCACAACGAAAAGGGAGATTTATCATCGGTTTGACCCTGCAGAAGCGAAATTTTTCTATTCGGCATTGCTCGGCGGCGAATCGCACGCTCGAGAGCGTCGATTATCCGTGACAACATTATTAATACGTTATTTTTTATAATTCCGAAACTTGGTTTTTTCTTTTTTTTGCGATGAACCTATCTCGCGCGGAGAAAGAAAAGAAGAATGTTTCTTCCGTTCTTTATCCGTGATTGATCTCGAACGTCGCTGTGAAGTTGAATCAGGTATTTCGCGGGCAATCGATCACGGTGCTTTTCGCGCGAATCAATTCTTCGTGTTTATAGAGGGACTGAGCCGCGGTTATGATAGTGGATATGATGACATGGATATGATGACATGGATATTTGGATACTATGTGTACAGGATGGGATAATATCTTGAACACGAATTAATCTCTTGCTGCAATTCATGTGCGAAATGTGAATCAATTTTGGTCAAGAGTTGTATACAACCGGTTGTATCCATCTGTACATCTTGTTAGTTAATATCGAAATAATAATTATGATAATACCGGTGCGCGCACTGTATTCACAATGCTGCCAGCAATCATATTAATATTAATTTCCGTTTTAACAATATGTCTGTTTGCACTAATTATCGATATCGATAACTACGTAACGTTGACGGTATTGCTAACGCTTTTAACATGCAAAATTGAAAAGGATTCCGCGCACCAGCGTTTTTACGCCGCGAAATTGTTAATCGCGACACGCGTTCGGCAAAAACAGAAATAAGGATTTAATGTCTCTCATTAACATCCCGTGGAACGTCGGCGCGCGCCGGCGCATTAATCTTGCGATTTCAATTATTTCCGCACCGCTGTCTTCCCGCCACCTCTTAAATTTGACCACCTTACTATGTATTCTTCTTCTTTTCTTGTATTTTATTCCCTTTGTCCCTCTTTTTGCTCCATCACTTCTTGCGTCCAATCTAATCGTCGTTCTCAGTGTCCAACACCTTTTTCCTTTTTTTTTCTTCTTCTCGTTGCTCACCGACGTACTCTTTCATTAAATGCGTTACTGTCCTCCCTATCACTCTCGCAAACTTCGCAGACCTCCCGGCTTTTCTTTCCGCTCTGGCGTCAGTTTCTCCTCTCTTACCATCTCTTTAACTTATTACCGCACCTAAATCTTGCTGTCGACCCGACGTTGAAACTTCCTTTCGCCTGCTAAGTATCTTTACCGGTCGATAGCTCTTATACCCCCCCTTTGCGTTTTTTTCTTTCCTCATCGTGTTCTATAGTGTTCTAATTAACCGAGAACGCGCGTGCTGCGCTCGTTAGCTTTCCCGACGTATTTTCCCAGTTAAACACATATTTTCTTAGGGGAGCGTAGCACGACTGCTCTCGTCGTGAGGCAAAAGGAAAAAGTGTATTTTATATACATATATAATAACGAAAAACAAGCTGCAATTGTGCAATTTGAAATTTTACAATCGGAATTAAAAAAGAAGAATTAGATCCTGAATTGATAGGACAGCGGAAAAATTCCCATTTGATCCTCCGCCTATTTCCGATATACACTCTGTAGCCGTGAGCCAGTCGGAGCGGAAACTAAAAGCGGTTCGATATCTCGATTGCTCCGAACGACAGCAAAATTTTTCCAGGAGACAATCCGCTGGCAGCTCGTCTATCGGCGCCGACGCGTTTTCACAACACCGATCAGTCAGAGTGGGCGAGGCCGATTTGACGTTTACTGCGGCATTCGCTACGCCGGATGGTAGACATCAATTACGTCTAATAGATATTCATATCGACAAGAGGCTGGATCGATGGACGTCCGATGAGTCTCTCGCGCGGCGTTCAATGTGAATTTCGCGTTCCGCGTTAAAGTATCCGCGGGCGGGATATCGTCGGTCTCCCATCCCGCGTGTGGCTTCACGTCGTCGAAAATAAATTTGCCGCAGCCGCGGGTAGGCGCGGGGAATGCGGAGGGCGGAGTGAGGTGAGAGGGGAGAAATCGGTCAATTTGACGCTCCGGTATCAATTCGCGCGGAATCACCGGAGCTGTCTGACAATAACGCGACCATGCCGATGCGCGAAAAAGTAAGCTTTTGTATCCCCCGCGCGTTATTTAACTCTCTCTGACGCTTGACATTTACGCGGCGTCATTGCGCACGGAATTACGAATCGAAATTGCGTCCGTCGAAAAAGGATCGTGCGGGCGTGTTAAATCGGAAGCCAATCGCGCGCACCGACGTCGAAATTTCGTCTCGGCGCGTAGCAGGCTCTCTGCTTGCAGCTTCTGTGTGCGTAAGACGTACATGCGAATTATGCAGGATATTTGAACGACGTGAAACTTTGATATTTCAGAACAATGCAAACTTATTAACTATTGCTGAGTGAAGAGCGAAATAATTGAAGCGTTTACGAGCGGTGCGAGCGAAGGGAATCGACGATTCGCAGAAGCCCGCTTTAAATACGCCAGTCGTGTCTAAAGCGGATCTTATATATTACGGGTGCGATCTATCCTCGTTCTCAGCGTTTTGCCGGTGCACAGTCTCTCTTTCCTCGTGCACGATTGTGAAAGAGACGCCGCGTGGATTACGTGTAAGCGCGCGCGCGCGCGCGCGAGCGAGCGTATGTACGTAACGGCGTCTCGCGATTGAAACATCCGTGCGCGGATCAGACTCAGGCGGTGAGTCGCTTTGGCAGGAATTGCGGATCCGCAATTTACCGGCCTTTTTTCGCCCCGGCAGTCCCCGGGCGGATGGATGGATAACGAGAAAACTTTTTCGCTCAGGACGCCTCGTGGCCTTTACATTACGTCGTAACGTGCCGCACAACTCACGCTCGTCGTTTTTTGTTCGCCCTCGTGCTCACGCTCGTGCTCGCGTTTCGCCGTTCGCCGGTCCATTTCGCACGATTGAGCGCTATACGTTTTCGCCGGAGGAAAACATTGCTCTGTCAAACGCGCCCCGGCTACACAACGACCGCTCGCTCTTCTCCCGTGATGTATAAGCAGAATTGTTTTGCATATTGCTGCTCGCGCGCGCGCGCGCGTCTCTCAGCCGCAGACCGCCGCCGATCGCCGTCGGATCACGCGCTGTGCGCGATTACAATTACGATTGCGGCTACGTCACGCTCAAAATGCATCGATCTTGATATATTGATAACGAGACGTATTAGAATATTTATTAATCCCTTTATGAAACGGAGCTTATGCACCGGATGTGTTGAATTTTGTATGCGCGCCGAATCCATACTAAAATCTAGGTCGATTTGATTCGTATATCATCCCTATCAAAGGTGCGCTATCCTTCTTCGAGATATGAGAAGCGTAATTCGAATGTTAAACGCAGATTCTCCCATGTTATATCCATCGATAAAAAATGGAAATATAGTTTCTCATTTATTTATTTATGCAAGTTTCTCGACGAGCAAGATCGCGTTAATTGCATTTCCAATTTTATCCAAGGGAAATGTACGCAGAAAAAAATTATTTATAGGTGCGCATTTTAATACAGTTATTGCGTGCGGTTACGAGTTTTCCCCGTACTTTGAAGCCGTAGCGCATGTTGAAGCGCTTTATAAATTTTCCCTCTCGCAACGCATAGTAATTCCTCCCCCGCGAAACTACGTCTACGCGATATTCACTATCGCGGAATTATTTTTTTTTTTTTGTTCGTTCGTACTCCAAAACGCGTTCATCGTCGGCCCGATTGGCATTGCAAATGCCAATTAATGTATGCTCTCATCGCGTTCGTCAATTTGTCTTTGTACCCGGAAATCTTTCCCCGTCATCGCCGGAATTTCAATCTTGGAAATATTTTCCCCGTCCGAGATGTGTCGATCCATTTTTTTTCTTTCTTTCCCCCCCCCCCCCGCGTGTGTCGCTCTTATAAAACGCCGGAAAAATTGTCGCGCGTTTTTTATAGTCTCGTCCTTTATAATAAATCTTCCTACATCCTTTTGGATTCTAATCGGCAATCCGCTCAACTAAATGCAACTTTATCGTCGTTTGCAGTCGCACCTTTATGTATCTTTACTCATTCGCGACAAATCTTCCGTTTCCAGTTTAGGTGCTTTTACGGAGAGAAAGAGAGGGAGAGATTCATCACGAAGTGGCAGTCTCGCGACTTTGAAGCTTAATAAATTTTTTTCTACATTTATGTACCTTATAACTCATTGGAACACGTACACCGCCAGCAACGAAAGCTTCCACGACCGTTATTGGTCGCGCACAGACCGTGTGTGCACACTGACGTAAATCCTCCGTATCTTCGCCATTTTTCCGCTCCACTTCCTTTGTCGTGCACATAATTTATTACTCCTCTAAATTTACGTAATTTATCGTCCTGCTTAAATCATGCCCGGGATTTTTGCAACAAACTGTATAATTGCCACTGCATCTACGTTCCGATGTATTTAATACGACTGTATAATTATTTTCCTAATGCGCGCTATTCCCGTCGACTCGGCTTAACTCAAAAAGCGAAAAGCCGGCGGAGCATCGGCCGCGTATTCGGAGAATAGCTTTTTTCGCGTTTTACCGCGATATAATCTCGACGACAAATTTGAACCGTAATTTCCGTCCCTAATTAATGCGAAACTCCTATCTGCCGCTATCACAATTAAACGCGTACGTGCGAATATGCGGAAGCGCGGTA